CTGCTGAAACTGGGTAAGATTCTTGTAAGAAAGGTAATAGTGTAGATGGTATAACAAAGTTCTGTACAAAGTACCTGGTGTCCAGGAAAAGTACATGTATTAGGGGTCCTAGCACATGGAATACTGTCACAGTTTATATTGAAGGCTTTCTTTCATCATGGTACTGCACAAACTGGTTTAAGAGTGTCTTGCTTTAATATGCAATCCCATGCTGTGGTAATTTTCCCTGTTCTCATCCTGTAGGTATATATTTATACATGAATATGGGGAGGAAAAAAGCTGTTCTAAGAAGACTTTAATATTCATGTTTGTGACTGCTAATTAAACTTTAAAATTACTCTACAATACTTGAAGGCATATGCCTTAATGCAGTATGCTGGGATTTATCTATGTGGGTCAAGCCAAATTTCAGTCTAAAATATATCAGCAGCCCCTCCCAATTGGATATTTTACTACCATTAAGGAGCTCAAACTGGAAACAAAACAGAATAAGGAGTCTGCAAGGTTAATAGGGAACTGGAGTAACAGAAAGAAAGGGTATGACAGACAACAGTCTTTTCTTAACTCAGAGTGGAAATAGAATTTGAGATAACGTCATGGCACATGCTTTGGGACAAGTGCCAGCATTAATTTTATAGTTTTAGCAGCTGAAGATTTAGGCTCCATTTTTGTAATAAAAAATTCAACACAAACCACTCTACACTTTTCACTTGAAATGTTTCCTGGAAAGTTACAATCATGTGTTAAATATTTATTAGTTACTTGAGAGACTGGACTAAATTCTTGGCAGCATTTTAAATTATTGAATCAGCCATCCAGTGTGGAAATAGTCATACTAGATGTTAGCCAGTAAATGGTAGGGAGTGTGTGTCCCAAACTTGCTTGACCCACATTATCCTGATGCTAGGGATGGGAATGGGTCACTTATAGGAAACATAGGTAGATGATAGTCTCCCCTTGTTTCCCCCAAGTAACCTGGAAGTCAGAAGTAACCATGGCTGGGGAGGGGAGAAATACCCTCAGGGATATTGTTTGCAGGAGATGATCTGGGGAAAGGACAAAATAAGCATACCTCAGTGACAAGCAGCACACACACACACCAACACACACATCTGAAACTTCGAAAACTACATTTTAGACTACAACTTCCAGAATCTCTGGGGTATTTTGGAAGTTATGATCCAAAAAGTAACTTTTCCTAGCACTATTCCAACACTGATATCTCTATTATCTCAACAAACATGTGTTTACAAATCCATATTTGACAGCGTCTAGTTCAGCTTCATTTCATTTTTACAAAGCCCCTGATTACCATAGAAGTTATGTTCACCTCCTACCATTTTGTGGTTTTAAGTGCAATTAATAATCAACTAGAGAGATTAAAAGAATGGCTTATTTGTGCTTCTCAGTTTGTAATGCATTAGTAACAAAAAGAAATGGCACATGTATTCTATTTTAAACATGGGCATGTGGAGAGATTACATTTGTGTGGTGTTTCTCAATTTTCCCAACTAACTTTGTCTTCAAAATCTCCCAATCTATTGTTAGCTGTTCAGCGATGAAGCATAGTAAATTCTTCCAAATTTCAGCATACATGCATTTCATCACTATATGTTAAAGGGCCTATTCCAACACCTGCATTAGAAGATGTCTAGCACCACTCTATTCTGCTTTGGTCAGACCTCACCTGGAATACTGTGTACAGTTCTGGGCACCACAATTCAAGAGGGATATTGACAAGCTCAGCATGTCCAGAGGAGGGTGATCAAAATGGTGAAATGTTTGGAAGCCATGACTTATGAGGATCAGATTAGGGAGCCGGGTATGTTTAGCCTAGGGAAGAGAAAGTTAAGAGGTGACATGATTAGCATGCTTAAATATTTGAAGGGACGCCATATTGAAGATGGGGCAAGCTTATTTTCTGCTGCATCAGAGACTAAGACACAAAGAAATGGATTCAAACTGTAGAATAAATATTAGAATTCCTGCTGCTGAGAGCAGTGGAAGATGCTGCTTCTGAGTGTAGTGATGTTTCCTTCTTTTTTAAATGGAGTCTGGATGGTTATCTATCAGGAGTGCTTTGATTGTGTATTCCTGTATGGTAAGAGGTTGGACTGGATGGCCCTTGTGATCTCTTCCAACTTTATGACTCTATAATTCAGTTTAGAGTAAATGCTCTCAGGCTTGATAGACTACAAATTACAAATATCATGTGTTCTGGAAAAGTACATGGTTTAGGAGTCCTGGCACATGGAATACTGTGCTAGAAGGGCTCCAGACACCAAGAGGTGGAAGAAAAAGAGTGGAGGGTGAGTAGCTGGCATGGAAGGATATGAAACTTCCATTCCTCCAGTACCAGTACAACTACCAGAACCATTAAACCAGACAGGAACACAGAAACAGAAAGCTCTCTCATACTACATCAGATCCTTGTTCAGTTTAGTTCAGTATTGTTTCCACTGACAGACAGCGGTCCTCCAGGATTTCAAGCAGTGGTGCTTACCAGCATAAAAAAGAGATGCAGAGAATGAACCTGGCACCTTCTGCATGCAAAACATACATTCAGCCAATAAGCTGAATCCCTTCTCTGTAAAACAGATAGGAATGAAAATGAGAAAATCCATTTTCCAACCAAGTTCAAGAATGTCACTAAGTAAAAGAGTATCCAACAAGAAAATAACAAGTTCCTTGTGCAACAAATTCCAATGCATTTCTGACTTTGAAGGTTCACTTTGCATATTCAGCAAACCTTGGGTTCTGCCCTACTGAAAAGATAAAGTGTCTGGTTGTCTCTATTCCTAGTTATTTTCCATTCCCAGAACTCCATGTTGTAGCTCCTGAATGTTGTTCATTCCACAATATGAAAACCACTTCCTGTATTATGTTTGACTTTCTAACAACCAATATTGAAGTTAGACACTGGTGCTCACAATGGGGCACAAAAGCATCTGAAAGGGGGGGGGGATGGGAGAACTGTCACTTTTTAAGTTTTTGAATATTACTTCATTCTGTCATTCATTTCCTGCTAATTCTGATTTTGCCTTTTGTTCTTAGACATTTGCTCACTGAATGGTAAAATCTAGATATACCTAGACAATAACCTTATTCAGGGTCTACCTAATTTGAATGAGCACATAAAGAAGGGGATAGAATTATAGAATCAGAGAGTTGGAAGAAACCACAAGGGCCATCCAATTCAACTCCCCCTACCATGCAGGAACTCACAATCAAAGCACCCTTGACAGATAGCCATCCAGCTTGTGTTTAAAGACCTCCAAAGAAGGAAACTCCACCACTCTCTGAGGTACAGTGTTCCACTGTCAAATAGCTCTTACTCTCAGGAAGTTTTTCCTAATGTTGAGGTGGAATCTCTTTTCCTGTAGCTTGCATCTATTGTTCCATGTTCTAGTCTCTATCAGAAAACAAGCTTGCTCTATCATACATCCTTTGAACTATTTAAACAAGGCTATAATATTACCTCTTAACCTTCTCTTCTCCAGGCTAATTATACCCAGCTCCCTAAGTCTCTCCACTTAGGGCATGGTTTCCAGACCTTTCACCATTTTGGTTGCCCACCTCTGTACATGCTCCACCTTGACAACATCCTTTTTGAATTGTGGTGCCCAGAACTGGACACAGAATTCCAGGTGAAGCCTGACCAAAGCAGAATAGAGTGGCACTATTACTTCCCTCAATCTACACACTGTACTTCTATTGATGCAGCCTAAAATCACAACAGCCTTTTTAGCTGCTGCATCACACTGTTGACTCATGTTCAATTTGTGATCTACTGGTACTCCTAGATCCCTTTCACATACAGTCTCATTAAGCTAGGTGTTTCTATTCTATATCTATGCATTTCATGTTTTTCTACCTAATCCCACTGCCTCCTTGATTGTTTTCTTCAAATGGCATGTGCAAGAGAAGGTTCTGTATGTACTGTATTTGAAAACCCTGATTTTCTAGCCTCCTTGTTTTCATATACTCTCCATGTAAATATATAGTTCTTTGTGTAAGGAAAATGATGAAAAGTGAGATGGTTAGGCAGTCTTTTTTCACATAATGATGCAAAGCAGATAACTAACAGTTGAATATGAATAAATAAAAAAGCCTGATGGAATTCTAATATTGCTATACAAGTTTGAAAATAAATAACCACAAAAAAAATTTCAGGGAAAGGTCATGTCATTCAAAACTCTGATTTTCCTAATGGGCATTTGATTCTCCAAGACATGATATATAAACTGGAAATGGTTTTATTCTAGACAATTACCATATCTCCTCCTTCCCCTCCTCTTCCCACCTTTTCTTAGTTTGT